AATGTGACTGTATTTTACAAAATACTAGTCTATTAAAACACAGCGAAGACAAGTTGCTTTGCACAGACCAAAGGTCAGTTTTGTGTTGTTTGATATGGTAACATGAGTGCACGTGAACCGCGTCATTGTAAACTCTGTATTGTTAGCCAGGCACAGCTGTAAGGTCAATATAATAAGAATAATAAATATATGTAAATGTATAATGTTATGAGATTTAAACTATTTAGTCTAAACATTTATGTTTTCGTGTTATAATTTGTGTTCATTCTAGAATGAAAGAGGCATAATTTATATTTATTTTCTAATTTGTTTTGGTGGTTGCGAGATTGGTCAAGTCTACCAAACCCATATAGAGATTAATTACTGAAAATAACAGATAAAATATAAAGTTTTTTCTTTAGAAATGTTTGATGACCATCTGAACATTATAAAGATTTTGCATGTGAAGTTTCAAAATCGTTTGATGCATAAAAGTATTTTTATTCTTGAAATGAAAATTACTTTGCATGATAGATAGGCAACATGCGAAAAGAAAAAAAAATAGGACATGAGAAAAATATTGCTTTATAAACCTTAAGACCTAATAAAAAAAAATTGGTATTTTGCATATGAAAGCATTATAATGTTTACTGATAATCTACCAAATTTCGTTAACATTTGCTTACTAATTTAAAAGTTATAGCATGAAAACTATAACAAGAACAAAAATGGTTACAAAATCAGTCCCATGGACCGAGCTCGTGATGAAAGATTTAATAGGCCTAAAGACCAAGTAACAAACTGGTAGCATTGCAAAATGGCCTAATGATCCAATAGGGTTGATAGTCTAAAAATACCCTGCCTCTAAAAAAACTGGTAGCACATCCACACATTGCCTTGATATTGGTGCATGTGAAAAAATTTGTTCTGCACATTGATTTAATAAATTAGAGGGAACATTGGTTTTAAGTCATTAAACATCAAAAGGTTTTACGTTTACTTGAATTAATCCTGTTTATATATATTCATTAATATTGTTTTTCGGTGAGACATATTTTTTACTGAAAACTTATTTAGACTGAGAACTTGAGAAACTGACAAAACTAAACTTATCATTTCAACTAACCCTTTCATATAGTCTGAGCCTCTCCATTTCTCTCTCTCTCTCTCTCTTTATTGTTAAGAGAAGTAGATATTTGATGTGGGTTTTAAGAATGATGTACATTATAAATGTGCGAAGGAAAAAATTGGCTTTGATATTTCTTTCCAATCTAGTTAAAATGGTTTTACTATTCCTAGTTTGTGTCCATTCTACTATTATCATAAGCTTTTAGACAATGTTATTATTATTATTTTTGTTTTATTTTTTTTTATACAGGGTCATAACACAACTTTCATCATAGGTTGACAGTTTTTTTTTCAGTTAATTTTCATTTTTGTTTCAAACAGAATTTTACATTTTTCTTTTTGTGAGTGTTTTTTACCATTTAATCTTGCTTTCTACTCAGGCATAGTGAGACTAGATTGCTAAAAATGATTGGCCAAAATAATTTGTATATTTGTGTAATTTATGCAACTTTAGGCCTAATAATTGAGGAAGGGTAGTAAAAATATCGCATTTATCAAATTTTAGTTTATACTAAAGAATTAAAAAAAATGTTGTGGACAGAACTTTGAAATAAGTACCTTTATATCCCGAATAATGTTTTATAATGCTAGTAAACACAAAAGTTTCAAAAAGTGTCCCTTGTTATCATCTGATCGGGATATAAAGTTGTGGAGATATAGTTAGGCTCAAATGCTATGATTTTTTCCCTTATTTAGAAATAATACTCTTTCAGATTTATTTGCTGTCAGCCTTCTATTGTGTATTGTACTAGTTCTTGACTAGAACACAAAGTGTACAGTGATTTTTTTAGTTCTAAGCTGCTAAAGAAACAGTTGATTTATATTTGTTTGACATCATAAAATTTCACAAAAAGGATTTTTTTTCTCTTATGGCAGCCTATTGCAGCCTGTGCTATGCCTGTTATGAAAGGTTGGAGAATTAAAACAGACTCAGAGATGACAAGGAAAGCAAGGTTAGTTGATTTTCTTCTCATTAATTAAAATTGTTGAAACTATTTAAAAGGTATCTCTTGTTATGTTTATGCAAACAAAAAATATTTGAGTATTAGTATTAAACTATTGTGTAACTGATGTAGAAATAAGTTTTATTTTGTAGGGAGGGTGTAATGGAGTTTTTGTTGGTCAACCACCCTCTTGATTGTCCAATCTGTGACCAAGGAGGAGAGTGTGATTTGCAGGTCAGTATGCTTTCTTAGAAGTGATTTTCTCTAAGGAAATGTCAGACGTAGCTATTCATTGTTATATTCACTTTTCTAGTCAAAACATTGGGTTAAATATTTCTAAATAATTGCTCATTTTATAAGAACACAGAGATAAACTACTGATATTAGATGCTTTTGCTTTATTTGTACACTTATTGTAACTTTAATACTTTCCTATACATGTGTATGATTTTAACCGTAGCCTCAATATCCAGAGTCACTAGTAACCAGACTATGTTCCTTAGTAATGTTACACTTACATGCATCCACTAATGGATTTTGCTTTCTATGCTTGCCAGCGTAGAGAATTAACAAGTATATAACAATATCCATTTGTTGGCTAGTTACACGGGATTGTTATTTAAAAGCAAGTTGTGCTTATAAATTTATTCAAAGAATTCTGCAACTTACATCATCATATACGTTAAAATCATTCACATTTTGATGTGTAAAAATAGTACTGTATGCTAGTATATCTTGTCCATAATATCAGTTTAACAAACTGTAATGTACAGAGTTCAAACAGTTGTTTAACAATAAACATGAATTTTTACAAATGCATGTTAAGGATGTCTACCAGTGATTTAACCGTAAAAACATTTCACTGTAATGCCTGAACTCAACACTTAAATTTGTCATCAAAGTATTACTGCAGTAGTGCCATTTATGTAACACGTTGAAATCTCCCATCAGTACTTTAGATATTTTAAATATTGTTAAAAACAGATGTAATGCCTGTAAACAGAATAATAAATTCAATTTTGATTTTATTATGAAAAAGTATAGTAATATGAAAAAACTAATTTGTAATGAGTTTTTTGTACTGTGTTTATAGGGAGAGTTAACGTTTCTTAATTAACTAAAAATTACTCAACTTCACAAGACTGGAATTCCAAAACATACATACCTCATCTCACACTACAGTTGAGTAATAGCTAGTGTGTGAGTGGAGTTAAGTATTATTGGAAACACATTTTTCAATATAAGAAAATGTTAACTTCCAAAACATACATACCTCATCTCAATCTACAGTTTAGTAATAGCTAGAGTGTGAGTGGAGTTAAGTATTATTGGAAACACATTTTTGATTTAAGAAATTGTTAACTTTTATACTATATTTTCTATTTGTTGTAATCAGCTGAATCATATAAATAACAGACTTCTCAATTTTAGTATTTTGTAAAGTCTTCTTTATCATCCTTTGTTTTTACTCTTTAGATTGTGTAAAACCAGAGCAAAGTTTGTGCAATATATTGATTTTGAAGTTCAGCTAAAGAACTGTATATAGTACCCAGATATTTATCTATCATCACAAAAATCTGATTAATTTTCATTTGCCCAAATAATTTTGGTGTCTGCAATTTTTTATGAGGAGAACAAGTGTAAGTGTAAAAGTTAGGCCCTTTTGATGGTCTTTATCTTAGACATACAATATTGCATATTTTATGCATCGATATTTTTAAATCAGTAAAAAATGAGAAATTTTGTGTACTACTTTATCATTTAAAACATTTTTAGTGTAATATGACTTTTGTTGTCACCCTACTAAATGGACCATAACACTTTATAATAAAATAAATTATAAAAAAAATCCTCAATTCCGTCTCTTACAGATGTATTTGTTAATCATAAATTACAAATGGAATAATAGAAGCGATTTTGTATGCAGGTTATACCTCTGGTTTTTAAAGATTTTAAACTTGCTCTCATTTGTACTTTGTGAAATATTCAGTTAAACAGTCACAATTTATCCTTTCTATTTTTTCAATTGTAATTATCACTGTTTTTACACAGGACCAGTCAATGGCCTTTGGAAGTGATCGTAGTAGGTTTGTGGATATTGAATTTACTGGAAAAAGGTAAAATAAATGTTTAATCAGTACAGAATTTTTTCCATTTAAACAATTATTGCACTTTTACCAGTTCTAGAAAATTTACTTTTTAACAAAGTCAAATATATATTTGGTCCTTATTTTATAAGATGAAATAGTTAATGTGTAGGATTTTTTTCATTTTTACAAGAGACTGAAACAATTGTTCAAAATAAGTGTTTTAATGTTTTGAATAAAGAGGTATGTAAGGTAGACTAACATTTCTTCAAATGATAACCAAGCTTTACAACATAATATTTCTTTTATCTTAAAATTAAGAGAATGCACACAATTTTTAATACATCAGTAGGATTATTATTTCTGGTAGCATCTACACAACTACAAATACATCAGCAGGAATATTATTTCTACTTGTGACTACACAATTATTAATATATCAATAGGAATATTAATTCTACTTGTGTGAACACAATTATTAATACATCAGTAGGAATATTAATTCTACTTGTGTGAACACAATTATTAATACATCATTAGGAATATTAATTCTACTTGTGTGTATGAAGTTATTAATGTATCAGTAGGAATATTAATTCTACTTGTGTGTATGAAGTTATTAATGTATCAGTAGGAATATTAATTCTACTTGTGTGTATATG